GAAGGTTAAGCAGCAAGCAGACAAAGAGCAAAAACTAGCAGCCAATTTTAACTGAATTTTTATGCGTCAAAATATTTAGCTGGATTTTTTTTTTTTTCAATTTTTGTTTGGTAAATTTTTGAAGGACAGCTAAAGTAGATATTTCGTGCGAGTAGTGTGCGCATTTTTTTTTGTTGTAAGCGAAAAAATAACGTTTACATATGCAATAAGAATTTGTATATCTGTTAAAAAATCAACTTAAAAATACAAAACATTTTTATCCACATCGCCTTAAAAATTCACTACGCCAGCTCGTCGTATTGTGCTACAAATTGTTGCACGTCTCACCTGCATGGTCAGACGCAATTTGCATGAAAACATCGTTTGCCATAAAAGCGTCCGCACACGTTTACCCTACCCTACCCTACGCCCATCAAGCCAACAAATGTCAGTACATAATTACTAATCGTCCAGCCAGACGTCCAAAAGCTCAAACCATTTTCTTCTCTGCCACATAAGCATGGCCAGACCAGACACTCAGTCATTCACTCAACTCGGTCGCTGCACTAGCTCTTTCTTGTCTTGTCACTGCGTGCAACTTCCAAAGGGACTACAAGAATGCGCCGCAAACATTCTTTAGCGCGTACGTTAACGCTTTTTTGTAGTAGGTAACTAACAGCAAGTGGCAAGAGCGTGTATGTAGTGTTGTTGTTGTTGTTGTTGTTCTTTCGACGGTTTTGCGGATGCACTGCTGGTGTGACAGATAACATGCGCGTACAAATCAATTTCGTGCGCTGAGCTGCTTGCTACTTCAGTGCCATAAAGCTTGTTGTTGTGGTTGTTGTTGCTATTGTTGCAATGCCATCATAAGCACTCACATAAGCATAACAATAATCGTAATAATAATTACAACAACAAAACAATAGCACTCATACTCAATGCTGATGATAACAATACCAGTTGGCGGACCAAACCAGCCAAGTCACAAATAATTATTGCAATTCCGGCAGGCATTTTATGTGAAATATTTTCATTCTATACTACATACATACATATGTGCATATGCATGGTTGCATGGTTGTCTTTGGTTGCGCACGCGCTTGCACATAAATTCACAATTGATATGTTTATGGTGTGATCTGTGGCGCGTTCAGCGGATGGCGGAGGTGGTCGTCCGGCCGGCCGGCCGGTCGGTCGGTCGGTCGGCTGATACGCTGATAATTACTACAGCAGTGGCTGCAACAATAACACTTACAATAACAATAACAATAGCAATAATCATAAACATAATAATTTTTTGATTAATCTGTCAGTGTTGAGGTTGACAGTTGAATTCAAGCTGCAAGTGTTTGATGAGCGTTGTTGCTAACTACGTATCAACATAGTACATATGCATATGTATGCATGTATGTACATATGTGGCATGCCACATCGAGAGTGTAATTGCAAGTGCGAGTATTATTGCCAACGCATTGTCTGTATGGCAATTAATTGCGCGAAAAATACTGCCTGCAACGAGTGAATATTTTATGATGATTGAATGGGCGAATGAATGATGCAAATGTTGATGGGCAATTAAGAAAATTTAAATGCTGTTAAGATAAAGTATTCAATTCTTTTTTTCAGTACGAAATTGTTCTTATTCAAATACTTGTTGAAAGTTATTAGTAGCATTAAATGTCACATAAACATATATTTACATACAAATATATTTTCAGATCAAAATTGCATTCTTCTTTCATAGTTTATAAGAAATAATTAATAGTATTTGCATATGCGTGATTTAAAAAGGCTATATGATAATTCAAAATACATAATCATTTTTTCGTTAAATGGTATGCTATGAGTAAATGGCCTGCTATAATCACAAATTCTAATTTCCTAAAAAAATAATAAATTGGCTTGGAATAATACAAATTACGTTGACATTTGTAAGTATCGTATACCATAAATTCTCATCATCAGCAACAGCACAATAATAATTACATATGTATGTGCATCAGAGAACTGCATTAGCCGATTTAAATGCGATTTCAAGCTACATACTTTTAAACAAACAAGTCCAGCGGAAGTGTATGGGAGAAGTACACAAAGCGAATCATTTACATTTCCAAGCCACCTGCGCATAAAAAATATAAGTTCAAGTACGATTTACAACAAGAATAGCAAACTAACAGATTAATCACAACTAAGTCGTGCATGATCCGTTGATTGGCCGATGTGGCAAGTGTAAAAACTCTTATTACACTCGTAGCCCTGCAAACTTTACCACAGTTTTTTTTTTAATTTGGTAGATCTTATATAAATAAGAGTTTCAAACTTTGCACAAAACTTAGAAAGATTCATCAACATTTTTAGGAGAATTTTGGGTATGCAATTAATCGCTTAGGCGGTTAGGTTAGAGTTTCTAATTTGTGTCGTTTTAAACCATTCGTAATTTAAATTGAAAAGAGACAAAAAGAAATCAGTCCCAACGATTTCAAATGGCTTAGAAGTACTAGTTGGAATATAAGATTTATTTCTCTAGAAACCTCATCTAGTCCTACGCAGTGGTAGGCAGTTGCACAGGATATGCTTTACCCTTTCCTCTGCATCTGATAAGCTACAACTAGAACACGAAATACCCAAGCCGCAGTATTCTGTGAAAGCGGCAGTACCTTCCTTTCGGGTATAATCTTAACTGAAGTGTGGTTTGCTCAGTAGGTGGCCTACATGCTCCTAGGGATCCTGTGGCTCCTTCACCAGCGGTTAGCCATATTTTGGCAGCGCTTGATATGTATATACATGTATGTAGTTCAGGCACACAAGAACATATTCTGCCACTGATATATCTGGAGCCGACTCGTTTCTGGCTAGGTCGTTGATCATTTCTTTGTCAAGAATGCAACCTTTGCGCCGGCGCCTAAATTAGTGCAAGGATATGTCTATCTGCTAAAGTGTTAACTTACTTTCCACGCTGTGGTATCACATTATAATAGTGGTGATTTTTGCGGAGCCAAGTACCTTCAATGCCAGACGAATTTACAAGGCTTTCTTCTTTTCTTAGTATAGATAATATGCTGACTTTTTTCCTGAAGAGAAGCATGGGACAGATTTCAGCCATTCTTTTTGCAAATACATGTTAAAACGTAGCACGATATGTACCGTTATGGCAGTACATACGTTATATCCAACGATGCAGTAGTTTACTTTGTAGCGTTTTCCTTTTTCGAAATAATGTTGCATTTAACCTGCCCTGCGCCAGGGCACTCAAGCGTTCGTGTTCTTTCATCATCTTCACACGCATATTGCGTGCTCTTTCTTTAAAATGTTGCACTCAGAGAATGTTGCCATATAATAAAGTGACATTTTTTTCGTGAAAAGAAACGCCATTAGTGTTATGTGTTAATTTTCCAGTTTGATTGCTGTGTAAGTGACTTCCAATTAGTATTTAGCGCAAAGTATTTAGGCAAAAAAGTATGCATCTTTAAGGAAGGTAGGTTTGAACTAAAAATATTTTTCAAAGTGGCAATTAGAATTAGTTCAGTCTTTAGGGAATTTACGGTGCAAGCAGAATATCACAACAAATTACATCATCATATAAAAAATGCTCGCTTAGCCCCGAACTCCTTCAAAAAAGAAAGATAACTTCTCCCACCTTTCATAAGTATAGTCTAAAAGTGAAACAACATTTAGAACACGTAAAAGCGAAAGTAAAATATGTTTAAAAAAAGTACGTGTTATAGTTAATTATTTGGTTTTAAAATCAAATAAAGCTTTAAGTAGCTTGAAGTTTGTGCAAAAGGCTTGTTGCAGTTCTCTGATTTGAATTTATCATCAATAAAGGTGGCAATTTGAAGACCATAAGTCATAGTAGCTGATTTTTGTGATAGGATATGCATATGTATATTGGTATGGCTTAACATAAATTTTGTTCCCTAAAATGGTATACCATATTTTTGACTTATGTCATTATGTCGTGCATATATAAAAATGCTGCTACATAAATAATGACGTCATATGTTAGACGATATACCATTGATGACATAACATCACACAACATAACAAAACACAATTGCATAAAGCCATAGTCATTTAAAAACTTTTTAACAATTGAAATAATTATAAATGCTGTATAATGTGTATGTAACTACTTACAATCCAGCTCATAGAACTGATTCCAACTGTGACAGTTTAAATAAATAGCCGCTACAGATTCCATTTCCTTTTGAAAAATAATTATTAAATTAATAACTCTTATTTACACATTAAAACATGGCTTAGTTGATACAAATCAATATACACAAGTACTACACATGTACGTTATAACATTTTAATAGCTGGCAGTCGTTTGTTTTTCTTCAGAAATTATCGTAATAGATCGATTTACATTCATAATTGACTGTTAATTAAATTTTATTTGTCATATTCTTTCGCCTTCATAAATCACACCTTATGCAAAAAAATAATTAAACCATTATATTTATTAAGAATTTATAAAAGTTAATTGAATGTAATAGCTTCCCAAGTAGTTGTCCCATAGAGCAAAGAAAACCAAAAAAAAAAAATAACGAACAAAAAATAATCAACGAATATTATAAGAGCATTTTACCCCAGAAAAAATACCCTCATTAAAGAGATTGTACAAATTTTTGGACTTGCGAAATTTTTCAACGCAATGCATGCACTTAATCAGCGCTCTTGAATATTAGGTGTGTAAAAAACCTCAGCCCGAGAAATTCATGTTCTTATGCCACAAATAATGCCTTAATTCCTTTAAAATGTCTACTCATATTGACCAACTAAAAACAGAATACCTTTTTTGAAAAGCCATTCATTAGTAAAAATCTAGAATGCACATTAAAAAAATATTTAAATTTATATTTAATAGTTTTATAAAATATGTTAAACTTGTAATGAACTTTGCAATCGTGACTCATGAATTTTGTCTTTTCTCTTTCTTTTCTTTTCTTCTCTCTATCTCTCCCGCTCTCTCTCTTTCTCTCTCTTTCTTTGTGTTCTCTCTGTTGTTACAATTACAGGTGCATGAATTGTGCGATAATTTCTGTCATCGATATATCTCATGTTTAAAGGGTAAAATGCCAATAGATTTAGTGATTGACGAACGGGACACCACCAAACCACCAGAAATAGGTTCAGCTAATGGTGAAGGAAGAAGTAATGCCGATTCGACATCGCACACCGATGGAGCTAGTACACCAGACGTTGTGAGTACCCCCTTCGCGGGAGCACATGGTCCTATATTGGCGAGCTACAATGCGGTGGTGCACCCATGTTCGTAGTACGATAACGACCTTCTTGCAAAAACGAAGCGGGTGCTCACAATGCCCTGGGATTAAATTAAATTAAATAAAGAATACAAATGATAATAATAACTATAAAAGTAAAGTAATGAAAAAAAAACAAAACTTAAACCAATATCCGTACTAAATTTAAATGAAAACGAATAATGCCAAAAAAAATTGCAAAACTTCGAAAATGCTTAAGAAAAAATTTTAAGAAAGTCAAATGTAAGGAGGAAAAAACATGGCCACAAACAAATTTGTAAACTAATAATTAACCATCTACACCGCAACAACCACAACAACAAACAAATTCAAAAGGCGTTACGCACACGTATAGCAACAAAGAAAAATGGAAATGGGCAGCCAAAACAAAAAAAAAAAAAATTGTTGACAAGCTCGGAAGCATGAAAAGCTGAAAATAGAAAATGAACGAACAAAAGCACGCATGCACAAACTAGCCGCCAAGCGCCACTGCAACAGCAACGGCAACAGCAACTGCAACAACAGCAAGCGAGCAACAGAGCCGCAGCAACATTCTTCCACTGGTGGATAAATGTCCCAGCAGCCAAGCGCAAATAATAAGCTGTTTCGAATTCTATTTCGAAAAAAGTTTAATGAGAAAATCGCGGCATTGCCAGGCAAAATTTTTCTGTCACATAAATCAGCATACAAATAATACAATAACAATAAGAATATGCAGCAGCTATGCTAAGCGAATAAATTAAAACCTAAAAAAATATGTGCAAATTTCAGAATTGCCAGTTCCGAATTGAAATTAAAACAGTTGCCGCTGTTGCCGCCTCAGCTGCGCCGCGCCGCGCCGCGCCGAGCCGCACCATCACTGTCACTGCCATTTTTCATTGTCACTATACGTGGGTGCAACATCGCCAGACCAACAACAAACATAAATCAACAACACATAAAACGTTAACAAAAAAAGCAACAACAACAATTGCCAAATAGACAAGCAAACAAAAATAGATAATCACAATTTAAAACTAATAAAAACAAACAAAAGCAAAGGACAGTGAATTTGTTTGTTGACAGCCAGAGCAGCACAACATACAGCGTTGCAACATTGTGGCTAGCAACATGTGTAAGTGATAGCAGCTTCATTTAAGCTTGTTGCAAGCAGCAATGCTACAGCGTGTGTGTGTGTGCGATTGTGTAAATACCACATAAGAAAATTTTGCAACACAATAAACATAATAATAAATAAAATTGTTTTTGTTCATTGTTTTTTGCGAAAACTATTGTAAAAATGTATTAAAATTAAACAAAACAAAAAAAAACAACCTGCAAATTACATTTGTAAAAAGTTTTCCAACTACAAAAAAAAGTCTAAAAGAAATAAGTGCAAGAGAAAGATGAAGAAGAAATTTTTAACACAAAAGTACCACAACTAAAAAAGAAAATGCAAAATGTTAAACCAATGCCAGGGTTTTTGAGTCAAAAGTTTTGAAATGAAACTAATGCAATGAAAATTGAATGATTGAAGCGCATTGAAGAGCACGGAAATGTGAGAAAAAGTACTTCGTTTTTGCAAGAGGCCCATATAGCTCGCCAATATATATATAAATATTTATATATATACATATGTATAAAGTAATATATATACATAAATATATACTACTCTCTATGAATATATTAATATACGAAATCCTATATATATATATATATATATATATACCAATCAACTTATATATTTACATAGCTACGTATAATAAATTTTATTTTAACTTATACTAAAGAGTAAAACAAAATAATTTAAATTTTAAACTACTTACCGCCAACCTACCGCCATTTTTAGCAACCCCAGTAGGAATATTTACAAGTAAAGCTGGTATTCACAGTGTAGTTGAAAGCTTTAATTTTGCGCTTTTTTTTGCATGCCCCCAAATGTGTGGTGCCGGCCCATGCTGGCATGCCGAAAACCAATGTGTGCTTTTAAGGATTTTTTTTTTTTGTAGAAATTAGTCACATTTGCGCGCTGTGAATAGCACACCGTCTAATTTTTTGATTTCACCATTTTTTTATGGCGGCCCAATGCTGGCATACCAAAAGTAAAGAACGTAGCGCTTTTAAAAATTTTTTTGCTACTAATCACGCTTGCGCGCTGTGAATATCGCAATTGGCTCATTTTAAATTTTACCAAATTTTTTATATTATTAGTATTTTAAAGAAGCGCGTGCGTTGAAAAGTAAGTACTTGTTTTGGCGCAGTTAAGTTTTTTAAAATATTACTTTCTTTTAATGATGAAAAGCTTAAAGTTTGACGGTAGTGTTTCTTTACTTGCTACTTTCCTATTGTTTTTTTTTTGTTTTTCCCTAAAAAAAAAAACTTTAAAATATTCTATCTTCAAACGCCATGCGCAGGATGCAGCCAACCAACAACAACTGAAACAGCATTTTACGCCACTGGAGCAGACGTATGCCAGCTATCACATAAAAAATGAGGCGGATTTTTAGTGAGGTTCTAGTGGGCGAAAAATCGAAATAGATTTTTTTTTTAAACAGCAATTTTTGAACTAACAAAAAATTTGTATGAGGTAGCAACAGCTGGTTGCAGCAATGGTCAGCTGTTTTCTCTTCGCGAACAGCTGTTTTCCGCGCAATGGTCAGCTGTTCTCACATAACCAGCTACATTTTTGGCATTGCGTATGAATTTCTTTAATCGAAAACTCTAATTTGAGGGATCGTGATTGTCCAAAAATTGCTTTGAGCGCGCATACTGCTATGGTGATAAGCGCTTTTAGCAGTCGCTTTGAATTCGGGCTATTCCAAGACACAACTAGCTGATTATCCGAAATTCGTTTAGGAAAATGCCTCAAACGGTGGGCGGAGCATTATTACTATTTCTATAGAAAACCACTTTTTTTTGTACTTCAAATACTACTAATACGATTTCTACATACATAAATACTACAAAAACTGCAATACGCAACGGATATACGTAATAATTTGTATTGACTGAGAATATAAGTAACTAATTAACTGAAAGAAAATCCATATACGTAAATTAAAAAATAAATATATATATATATATAAAATAAAGAGAAAGTCTAGTGTATATTGTGAGCCAAGTTCTAGTGTATAGTCAATAGCAGGCGGGCATAATTAGGTTAGCGTTTAGACTAAATGCAAACAGATATACGTAAAAAGTGCACTGAACGGAAGTTTTTGTTTCATTACTTTTATATTTAGTTTTTTTTTTCATAGCTTGATAACGATTAGTCGTTTACAACTAGTTGAAGGCAAGAGGAAATATTTTGTAAAATAGCTGCTGTAATTAAAAAAATTCAATTTTAAATCAAATAATCTATAAGGCGTAATATAATACAAGCATATAAGTATGTCTATTTACAAACTCAATTAATGATAACAGAGGGATAGAAGCGGTCAAAATGTTAGTGTGGATTTAATTTTGAAAAATATTACTTTGAAAAAAGAAATAATAATAAATTTGAATACGTAATTAAAAAGTACATTTAATTAAAAACAAAACACACAAATACACACAAAGTATACGATTTTTATTAAGGAGTGGTGAAAAAAACAAATAGTTATACGATTTCATACATACCTATAACATACACGTCTTTAATTAACACCCATACAAACGCACTAACACACACATACATATTTACTTAAAAGCTGTTAAATTGGCCTCTTGAACCTTAATGCATTTTTAAATATATTTTATTTTTTTTTTGCCTTAAACAAAGTTCTTTACACTTTCTACGTTCATCACAATTTTTCGTTAAATATTTTCCCAACTTTCTGCGTGTTTATTTCATTCTGAAACTTGGCAAAATGTCATGCACAATATTTCCCCTCACTACTAACCAATTAAAAAATAAAAATTACTTTGTTTACAACCGACAGTGCTGTTCAAAAAATGCAACCATATATACGTAATTTACTAAACAAAAAACAAAAAAACTAACAAAGATGTTGAAGTGTAAATGTTAGTTTATAGATAAAAACAAAAAGAAGAGAAAAGTTAGTGTGAGTAAAAAGGAAAAACCTAAGTTCAAATGAAAGTATACGAAAAATTTTTATTTTTTATTAAATTTACCTATTACTTACCTTAGAATGTTGAATTTTTAATACGAGTATAAAAGCAGTGAGGAGAGGAAATATACATACATATATACGAAAGCTTACTAACATTAAATATTTAATTCATAAATACAATTTAACACACAAACAAACAAGCAAACAAACATACAACAAACGTATACTATCCATTAAATACTATTCCTACATATGCTAAGCGTGTTCCGACGCCGTCGCACAGTATGCTGGAGCCATACCTACTACTTAGTATGTATATATGCGTGTACAACGTGATTTCATACAAGTATTTACGTACATACATTTTTAACATAAATAGAAGAACTAATTAAGCGAACTTTGAACTTTACTACCAAAATAAAGGCGTTGTGGTGGAAGAAGAAAGGCAGCGAGCAAGTGAGGTTGACGCCTCGTAACGAATTATGTGAATATTGGAGCTTTTTTTTGTGTATAAATTAAGCTTTTTAAGTAAAATTTTCAGAGATTTTTAAAATCAGTTTTTGTACGAAACTTACAGGCGAGCTTAGTTTTTATTTGAAAGAAACTTTGGATAGCTTGCGAAAGCTTTCTGAAAAGAGGGCTTTTTTCAAAGCTTTTAAGGCAATTTGCATACAGTATAATTTTTTTGGTGCCATCAAACAACGTTAAAAAATCTGCCTGTTGATACGTTTATAATAGAATAAAACACTGAAACCAGATTACTTTAGAATAATTTAAAATTGAAAAGAATATTCTCCAAAATGGCGAAGTACCGAAGCTTTTTTATAGTCTATAAGCTTGTTAAAGCTTTCTATAATTTTGTGTATTGACACGCCAAAAATGAAAGCTTTATCTAATCATCGCTGG